AGCCTCTGGTTGTAGACTCTGCCCTTGCTGTGGTTGTGTCAGCTACGGCACAGAGAACTCCATCAGAGGGTGCAAGGCTAATGTGGGCTGGAAACCTTCCTGTCCCCAGACGCCCCATGGTCCTGGGCTTACTCCAGCGTCCGCCCCTCCCTGCCGGCTCTCTGGAGCCTCAACTGCAACTGAGAGCTGACCTCAGGTCCCTAAAAAGCCAGAGGGCAGGGCTGGTGCAGTGGGGCCGGCCACCTAGTCTCTCCCACCAACAGCTGCTTTCAATCACCACGTGGCTCTCTGCTCCCCTCCCGTCATCTGCTCTGACCTCTGCAGCCTCCCTGGGCCTCCCCTCCCTGCTCTGGGGCCGATCTGATGTAGACAATTTCACTTACCATGTCAGATGCCTTCCCTTCGTGCTACATAACCCCCCACCCCTCCTCCACCTCCTGCCACTCCATGGCCCACTCTGGAGTCTAAGGGTGACCTTAACTCCAGGATTAGCTCAGAAAATGAAAGTCATAATCTTTGCCTTATAGTGTCATTGTGAGGGTCCTGTGAGATGGTGCAGCATGTGGCTGGGGCAGCACCTGGCATTCAGGAGATGCTCAATATATGGCAACTTCTCATGCCCTTTGAATCTGGGTTGGTTTGTTCAAGGCTCAGAAGGTGATGCTCTTAGACCTATACTAAAGGCTCAATCCTCAAAAGAATCAGTTAGCTTGATGTAAAAGAAACTTTAGTTCTCAGCCTCCAGTAGCGTCCCTAGTCCTCCATCTCCCCACAATAGTGGGCACAGAGGACCTGAGAGAAGGAGGGTGCAGAAGGCCCAGTCCAGCCACCCCCGATGCAGGAGGAGCAGCTTGGAGCCCATGGAGGCATCTTCAGAAGGAAAGACTGACAGTCCTCGGAAAGCCTTGGCTCGTGGCCTCACCAGGTCTCGGGCAGATGCGTGGGTGATTGCTGGTGCAGAGTTGACTTGCTGAGATTGCTTTCTCAGCACTGGTGGCTCGTGATGTTATTCCTTCCAGGCGGTGTCCCTGAGCTTGAGTAGGGCTCGGTGCATTCCCCTGGCACTGAAGATGAAGAACGGGGGTTTGAGCGTGCTGCGGTGGAGAACATTCTCTGTCTCGTCCTCATGCCCCCACCCCTTCCCTAGGGGGTGCCTTCCAGCCCGGCTGAGCTGCACAGTGTCCTCTCTGGAGACCTTGTCGGCCAATTTTTAATCTCTCCCAGTCTCTGGCAGGATCCTCATTTCTGCCCTTTAATGATCACACAGGGAGGTGCTGACTAGGTCTGCAGATGCCCACCTCTGGCCCAGCCTCCCCTTCCCAAGTTTGGGCCCCTCAACAACGATGGGGGAGCTCTGTGAATGAGCGAGCCTTCTCCATATGAGAACGTGTGTGTAAATTCCCTGGATTCGCAGCAGTGTCATGGCAGCACAGAGGCGAGGCGATCACAAAGGTCATGAGAGGTCATGCAGTCCAGCCAGCCCCTACGCACACACATCCTGGCAAATGTGGCCTTGGTCCTGGGAAGCTGCTTCAGAAGGAGGGTGGGGATGCTTCAAACACCTCCCTTTCCTTCTGGGGAAGGAGTAGAGGGAGCAGCAGGGTCTGACTCCTGGTCCCATGGCTGCCTGAGGCCAAAGACACCCACCCACCCACCCAGTGGCCTTAGGGAGCTTGAGCACCCCAGCCCTGGGAAGTTATCCCCTCTTCTCACTATCATCAGAGTCATTACTGAATCGGGGGAAATGAAGGAGGCAGGGCTTCTCTGTCAGTCCCATCACATCTCTGACCTTTTGGCCCCCCTGCAGATGTTCCAGTGGCTTTGACCGCTACCGCCAGGAGTGGCTGGCCTACGGCTGTGCCCAGGAGGTAAGAGGCATAAGTGATCTTCTGTAGCTCCTGTGCCAGGTAGTGGGGAACAGGAGGGCTGGCAGCAGACCTCCTCTGATAGCTCTTCTCAAGGCATCTTTAACCCTTGGTGAAATCCTCCCCTCCATTTGAAATTTGTTTTCCAGACTTATCTGAGCCAGTTAAATCAGCTTTGAAAGGTTTTAGAGGGCTCTGTGTGTCCCTGAGACAGGCACTTCTGGTGACTTGGCCTTGAGTGGGCAGCTCTCCAGGAACTCTTTTGGTCTGTGCAGAGGATGCGTTGGGCATGGCCTCAGCTACAGCTGGGTCCTCTGGGAGACCATGCACCTGGTGACATTAGGGAAGTGCCTGCCGAGGCTCCAGCCCTCTGGCTTTTGAGGGCGGCAGTCATTCTGAGAATGAGGAGGGTTGTTCCAGGTGCCGCCCATTTAGAATCCCATCTAGGTTCCTTCTCACTGTTAGAATTTTCCAAACACGCTACACTTTGATTCTGAGTGGGAAGCATCCTATCCTGACACCTTAGACTGACACAGACGGACCCATTCATTGTGTGTCCTTTTTTCCTCCTTTCCCTCTGTACCTCTCGCAAGGTCAGCACAGTGCACGTGCCATGCGCCTCACTGTGTGCAGCCCTACACTTGCTCTTATTTAACATCACCCCAAAAGCTGGGGGCCAGTGCCCCCTTTGGTCAGAGGGGAAACTGAGGCTCAGAGTTTAGTGACTTGGCCTGCATCTCACAGCAAGAAGGTGCTGGGCCCAGCATTTAAACGTCAACCCCCCAGACTCCATTGCCATGTGCTCACCACGGTCTGTTTTATTAGTCTGGTTCTGGGTGAGCTGCCTCTTTCTAACCTTAAAAAAAAAACCCAGTCTTCTCCAGCAGCCCACTCCTGACCTTGGCTGTTGGTGAATGTTTAGATTTGCTCTATTTATTTAAGATTGGCATCTCAGCTCCTTCCTTGAGGAAGGATTTGAAGCAGCTGACAGATAAATTGCCCTGTAAGATAAGATGCTTTCAGGATAAGATGGAAGGTTTAAATGCATTCAGGGCCCAGCTCTGTCCAGAGCAGCAGTGCCGGGGTCTCTGTTGCAGGCTGAGGGCAGGACATGCGAGGACTTCCAGGACGAGGACCACTACTCTGCCTCCCCCGATAGCTCCTTCAGCCCCTTTGACCGAGACCTGTCCACCACCTCCTCCTCCCTCTCCATTGACAGCCTCACCACGGAAGGTAAGGCCTGAGTCAGGGTGGGGACAGAGATTATCTCCTGGGATAGGAATTTCCCCATCGTTTTGCAAATAAGGGACCTGAAGCTCAAGGAGCTGAAGTCACTTGCTGGTGAGAAGCAGAGCCAGGTTTAGTACAAGTGGACTCCACTTCTGGGCTGTAACCAAGGTGCTGGCCTTCAGCAGGCTGTGGGATGCAGTTCACCGTGGAGAGGGGAGAAGTTAATGTCCCAGACCAGTGCCAGGTATTTTATATAACTTCATCTTCACAGAACCTGAGAGGTCACACACACGCAGTCCACACACGCAGACATGAAAGGATTGCCTGGTTTTTCTATAGCTTAACTTCACTTCTGACTCAGGAATTCCACCTCAGCTGTTCTGGTGCTTGGCTCCCTGCTCCTGTGGCCTTGGCCTTGGGCAGGCAGAGGGTCCAGGTGGGGCCGGGAGTCCTCCAGCTTGGGTTGGTGCCTATTCAGGCCTGGCCATCATAGGGGCTTCTCTGTTACCTCGAGGCCCGGGGGTCGTGGTTGAAGCTGCCAGAGGTTCATCAAATCTCTTCCCTTTCCCCTGCTCTCTCCAGGATCCTTCTGCTGTCTCTGAGGAATTCCTCTCTCTTGTCTTTTTTCAATACACTACATCTAGGTTTGAAAACCCATTCCCCTTAGGCTAAGACAAGGACTTGTGGGTTCTTTACAGCCCCTCCTGGGCTTTATCTGCTTGAAAGGAATAATGGAAAGAAGAAAAAAGCTCATATTTTAAAACATTATTCAGGGCCGGCCCGGTGGCGCACTGGAGAGTGTGCCCCTTGGGAGTGTGGCGGCGCTCCCGCCGAGGGTTCAGATCCCATGTGGAGACCGTTCCCGCTCACTGGCTGAGTGCGGTGCGGGCGCAACACCGAGGGTTGCGATCCCGATACCGGTCAGTAAAAAAGACAAAAAGGAAAAAAGATTAAAAAATAAAACATTATTCAGCTGCAATCCTACCTTATAGATAAGGAAATAGGCTTATAAGGAGCAAAGCAGTTTACTTAGGGTTACAGGAGGGGTAAGTGGTAGAATGTTCTTCTCATGGTGCCCCGCCTTTCTAAACATCACCTAGAGAACCAGAGCAGACACCCATGGATCTGGAGGGCGGTCGTGGAGGAAAACAAACAAATGATAGGAAGAGCTAACATTTTGGGGGGATTGACCATGTGCCAGGTAGGGTGGTAATGTCACGCCCAAATTAATGTTCAGTCCTCCTGACAATCCTGGGTGTTGATACTGTTATATTCCCATTTTATAGAGTTGATGCTAAGGCTCAGGGGGGTAGATGTCTTGCCCAGGGTCACACAGCCAGGAAGAGATGGAGTCAGGTCTCATCCAGCTCCAAAAGTAATGATCTTTCCCCTCAACTCCAGTCTTTCTTGGTGCTGAAAGAAATGGAAAAGGGGCAGGACAAGACAGCAAAGGGTGATCACACGAGGCGGGTTCAGCCGGCTCCCATTACTCTGAAATTGTCCGGGACCCTAATCCCAGCCTTGCAGGGGTTTTTCAGGGGTGAGACTTTTTTTGGTGGGGGTTGGGACTTTTGAGGGAGGAGTAGAGTAGGGAAGGAAGGGCGTCGCCTACAGAAGGAACAGTATGCACAGCAGCTCAGAGGTATCGCAGCCCAGGGGGTCTGGAGAGCCTTGAGCAGCTTGTCTCGGCCACTGCCACGGTGATGAGTTGTGGTGGGTGACAGGAGGAAAGAAGATTGGGGACAGATTGGGGACAGATTCACTGGAACACTTGTGAACAAAGGGGAGCCAGTAAAGGCCTTTAAAATGACGTGGCTGATGGAGATGCTGGAGAGAAGAGGGACCAAATGCGTGTTGCAGGCGGTGAATTGTGGAGTGTTTAGATTGTTTAAAGTTCCGGTGCTCAGAGCAATCATCTTCAGCCATCTAGAGCATTCCCTGGACATGGAACTCTTGCTTTTCTTTCCATATATGAATCTGCACAGGAAAGGCCCACAGAAGGGCCACCCACTGGAACTCAATTAGAAAGCTGCAGGGTACACGCCTTGAGGTGCAGAGAAAGAATGTGTTGAAATCTCTCCTCTGCGCTGTAGTCCTGGGGAGTCTCCGATCCAATTTGATCTTGTGACACACACAGCCCCTATTCACACCCTTCCACAGCTTTCCGTTGCCCCTGAAACAACGTGCAAGGTCTTCAGCTTGGCTCTCCAGGCAGCTGTCCCCCAGCCCCTCAGCCTCACGCCTCTTCACCCCCTACTCACATACTCTCCACCCTGTAGCTACACTGAACTGCGGTGTGACTTTGAGCAAGTCACCTCCCCTCTCTGTGCTTCAGCGTCCTTGCCTCTAAACTAAACGTTTGAACTGAACTTCCCTAAAGTCCCATCCAGACCCAGAATGCAAAGGCCATAGTGAGTCCACTAATCTTGTTCCTTCTGTCCTCTCTCTTTGAAGATGACACCAAGTTGAATCCCTATGCAGGAGAAGACGGTAAGTACAGAACTGCCTGCCCCTCTTCATCAGACCCCCTGCCTCTTGGACCCACCCCAGAAGAGGGTGCAGCAGTCACCCGGCCTCTCTTTGTGGAGGAAGAGGGAGGAACGTCGTCAGCCGGAGCGTCCCAGACCTCCTGCCGGGGGGGAAGGGAGGCTTGTGGGCACAGGCCCCCTAGATTGAAGGAACATGTCTACACCCAGACATTCCTCCTCTCAGCCATGAACCTCCTGTGGTTCTTCTCCTGCCTCTCTGCTCCTGGATATTCCCTGCTCTGCAAGGAGTGGGAGGAGGGGAAGGGCCGAGCCAGGGCAGGCGTGGCGGGTGGGACCTGTGGCCGTCTCACCCCCGTGGGCCATACAGCCAGTGGGGTGGAGAGCAGCTTCTCTCACGTCGTCTCCTTCCATTCTCAGCCTGGATTGGCAGAGAGTACACAAAACTTGTCCACTGCAGTTTTTGCAGGTGCCAGAATGTGGGATCCCTCCCTCGCCTCACAGGTGTTGGAGGGTGGCCCCACCTCCCCTAACCTTTGCCCAGAGCCCACTCAGGTCCCTGCTGTAACCACTGCAAGAGTGGAGACGGAAGTGCCTTCCAACTCCAGCGGCTGGAGATTGTTATCTGGGGTTCTAGTGGGAGAGGAGAGGTTATTAAGGCCGCACAGTTTGATCGCGCTGCCCATGGGAGATGGAGCAGTTGCTCCCCCGTAGGCGGCGGGTGTGAGTGTGTGTGCGTGGGGGGGGGCTGGGCCATATTCCCCAATCTCTGCACCATGTGCTCCTCCGCAGAAGCCCTGACCAGCAGATCATCAGCGTCGCTGCTGGCTGATTGCCAACAGGTCAGGGGAGGCTGGCTCAGGGCGCTTCACCTCAACTCTCCCGCTGCTGTCACGTAGGGGCACTAGCCATGCACTGGAGTGCCCCAGGGTAGTTTCTCTCTTGGGTGTCTTCTGCTTACAGCGTGCCCAGCAGAGACAAGGGGATGGGGAGGACGATGGTTTTGAATGTGTGCAGCGTCCTAGTAAAACCCCACCCTCTGTTGCCTCCCACCCCACACTAGCTGAGTAATGTTGCCCAGCCACTAGCTGTGTAAAAAGGATTTGATATTTCTGTTGCTGACACACTCATCTGTGTTCTCTCCCTCATTATCTCCACGTTCCTTTAGGGTCAGGTGAAGAAGCAAGTAGCCACCCCATGTAATGTCAGGGAACGAGGCTTCTTAGCAGCTGGCACTGAATTTGCGTGTCCTTGGGCAAATCATGTGACCTCTCTGTATTTCCATTACCTCAGCCATACAAGAAAGGGTGGATATGGACGAGCTTCCAGCTCTGCAGTCCATGGAGAATACTTCATCTGCTCCTTGGGATGTATTTCAAACACTGGGGATGTTCTCAGAGAGTGCCTGCTGGTTTATTAGCTTCCAGAGGACCTAGGTCATTCCACAGACCTTTACTGAGCTCCTGTGATGGATCTGCCTTCTTTTTCTAATAGCTAGGACACAAAGATGAATAAGACACCATCCCTGCCCTTCAGGAGGTCACAGTCTGGTAGTGGACAGTGACAGGTAAAAATATGATCATTTGCTACCATAATAGCTAATACTTGTTGAGGTCTTCCAAGATGCCAGACATGGTCCTCAGTGCTGGACATGAATTATCTAGTTTTAATCCTCACAATAACCCCGTCAGGTAATTATTACCATAATTGTTCGATACAAGTGATAACAGACACAGAGAGGTTACATAGCTTGCCCAAGGACACACAGCTAGAAAGTGGCAGAGTGTTGATTTAAACCCAGGCAGTCAGATTCCAGATCCCAGACTCTTAACCATCACATGCCCTTTGTGAATTCCTTAAAAACGTTTATGTGGCACAGGTATCAGAGAAAACATCTCTTATAATCCTTATTAGACATTTGGGCAACTTTTAAGTGATTTTGGAAGATCACCTAAATGGTGCCAGGTCCAATGTTAATGCCATACTCAGCATGACTCCACCAACTCCCGCCCCACCTTATCATACGTTCGCTAAGTAGACCCAAGGGTTGAGTCGGCTTTCTTCTTCGGGACTTTGTCAGAACCCAGACTCCCTGGCCCCACCTCCCCGGCCCCCCTGCAGCTCCTCCCTGCTTACTGGTCTCTCCACAGGCCTGCAGAACAACCTGTCCCCCAAGACGAAGGGCCCCCCAGTGCACCTGGGCACCGTCGTGGGCATCGTGCTGGCCGTCGTGCTTGTGGCGGTCCTCATCCTGGCTGGGATTTACATCAACAGCCACCCCACCTCCAATGCTGCCCTCTTCTTCATAGAGGTCAGTGTAGAATGTGGCCACAGGTCTGCCATCTGCATCAGTGTTTCCCAGGCCATTCAGTCCCTGCCTCCCCCCATGTCACTTCTCACCTGCCACATACCTGAGGAAGCTTCACCAGCTCCATCCTGGCACATTTGCCAGTGGCTGATGCCCTTTAAATCCTTCACCCCCAGGACCCAGCACCTCGGAACTCCCTTGGTCCTCCTGTCCTTATGGAACAGCCTGTCTGCTCTTGCTCTCTCTTTTGTAAAATCAGAAAAGTCTCCAGAGGAAAGAAAGAACAAAGTGCCACACAGTGCCCACCTGGTGGCTGTGCAGCCAGTCCCTAGTCTCTCATGCCTGAATTCCAGCTTGGTACTTATTCAAAGCCATGATGGAACCAAGGTTTCTGCCTCTTTTGCTTGCTATGTGGGGTTTTTTTTTTTTTTCCCCCTTTTTGTCTTTTTTCGTGACCGGCAACGGATCGCAACCCTCA